CATGTGCATGAGAAATACCCCATGAACCCTTTCAGGGCAACAAGTCAGGAGCTGGGAGCAATATTTACCTGCAGTGAATCAAGTGACATCTTTAAGATGGGATGTCTCACACTGTGTGTACACAGAAAGATTTCTGCAACCCCAAGAGTGCCCAAAACATGCCAGCTGTGCCAGCAAAGATGTGTCACTTTTACCTAGGAGATCCATAGGGAATGGGGTTACACACACCTACAGGCACAACAAAAGGCACTTTGGAGTCACCCTGAGAAGTCTCTGCTCAGGGAGTAGTTACCAGCTTACAGCACCTTTATTCCTTCCTCAGGAAAATATTTCAATGTAAAGTAACTAACGTGGTTGGATTTTTTTAGAGGTTTGTTACTTCACATAAACCATCACTGTTTTCTGTGCTGCCTCACATTTATGGCATCACTAACACTCATATGCAGCAATTTTGGTATCATTTCACTGAACTTCATTTTAGTGTATTAATTCCTTCAAAACTATTTAGAAAACATGCTGTCCACAGAAAAAACCAGTTTATTCTTGGTGACAGAGGGGAGCCCAGGCTGTCAGCTGGTCCTACAACAGGAAAGCAGTGCAACCCCAAGGTACAACATTTTCTGTGCCAAGGCAAAAGGCCTGAAACCCTGAGCTGCAAGCTTGGCCCCTAGAAAAGGCTGTTACTTACAAAGAATTAAAATTTCACACAGAGTTACACAGTGAGCTAAACAGGCATGCACAAAAGCATTCAGCATCATTTTATGGTATATAAATACATAGTAATCATTCCACTGAATGAAATCTCAGTGTCATTTGTTCTAAATACTACGGCCACAAAAACTTTGTTGGTCAGTTACAATACATGAGGGAGAGAGAAGGGGTGGAAAATGTCTAGTTCTGAAAATCATCAGAAAAGGCATTTTGAGAAAAAACATATCTTACTTGTTTAGGGTCATCAGTGAGAAGCCTAAATTTCCTGGGGTTTTTGCTCCTGGCAAACTTACAGCCATTGAAATACATACTCCATGAACAGCCAAATGAGAATGATGCTCCACAAGTTTCTGGGTCAAGTCCTTGACATGCACAAGAACGACTAGAAAAGGAAATAAAGACATAGCAGGTCAGCTGGCAACACAGCTCTTGGGTCTGGGTTTTTTTTAGGTCAGTGCTATTTTGCTATTTCTTTTATAACACAGAGAATAACAAAGGAATTTGTGAAATTCATGGCTTAACCAGGTATTTTCCATTAAGAAAATACTCCTGTGTAGACGGCTGACTTTTCTCCACAAAGACATTCTCAACTTCCCCAACACCCAAATTTGGGACAGAAATATGAACAGTTACAGCTATGTAAATACAGCCATGCATTCATTTTGACTTATCCTGTTAGATAACATCTTCAACCAAGAAAATAGCCCTGCTACTTAACACTACCCTAAATCCAATAGTTCTTGGATTATAGTGTTATGTGCAGCAAAATCATTAACTCCAAATTGATTTGACTTTCTGAGTAGACCCTTTAAGAGCACAACCATGAGATTCAGGCTCCCATACAGCTCTCAGTCTGTTAAATGTGGGCTACACAGCAATCAGCACACAGGCAGCACTGCAGCTGCAACATATTCTCTAATCAATTTAAATTCCTCTCAGAGGCACAGAGGATGATCCTAATTTTGAGTGTTCAACCTCACATCTACTTTACAAAGTCACAACCTCCCTTCTTGGCAGCTCTGTTAGCACTGCTGTGAGCACAGGGCACACTGGTGGTGTTTGGGCAGAGCC